TGCACTCCAGTCTGGGCGAAAGAGTGAGACTCCAACTCAAAAAAAAAAAAAACCAACCAAAAAAACCCCAGTCTGGGCAACATAGCAGGACCCCCTCCATTTTTCTCTAAAAAAAGGAAAAAAATTAACCAGGCATGGTGGTGGCGCCTGTAATCCTAACTGCTGTGGAGGCTTAGGTGAGAGGATCACTTGAGGCCAGGTGTTTGAAGATGCAGTGAGCTATGATCATGCCACTGCACTCTAGTCTGGGCAACAGAACTTGACTCTGTCTCTAAAAAAGAAAACTACCTTGGTCAAAGAAAATGGCAGGGCCCCTAGCAGCAAAGGCATATCTCTGTACTTGAGAAATACCCCTCGGGTGAAAGGCTAATTGTTTTTCTTAATAAAGCCCAATTTTATTTGCAATAATATTTCCCGTCTTCACTGATTGACAGTGCTGTCCCTTTTATCACTAAATTTCTGTTTGAATTAGGATGTTCCCCAGGCATCTGCCCTGTTCCAACTGATTGAGACTCTGACCGACATCCCACTGTTTTTATTACTGGAGAGTATAATATATTACGGAGGTTTCTCTCCTTGTTCACCTGTTATTATCCCAAATGAACAGACATTCCTCACGGTATTTCTACTCTGACTTGCTAATATAGTTTCTTCTCCAAGTCTCCTCTGGGCCTAGACTCTCACAACGCAAATGCCTTTCTCTTCTTTCTGCAAAAGCATCCTTTCTGAGGTTTGCCACGGATGGCTGTGCAGGTTGTACACTGCCCAACCACAGTTGCCAGTCCCATCACAGTGTTATACATCAGATTTTCATCTTTACTAATGTTATTGATTTTCAGAGCTGCATGCTAGTTCCCATTTCTACCCTCTCTCAAATTGGGGGTGCACTGCACATGGATGGTGTGTGTTTGCTTTAGTAACGTGAGAAATCATGATGTTATACTGTTTCTGGCAACACCACACAGCTAGCAAGTGGCAGAGCTGGGATTTGAAGCCAGTGATACAAACCCACGGTTATAATTTTATTGTTTTATCTATCTATCTATCTATCATCTATCTATATTTTTTTTCCCATAGAGACAGGGTCTCACTGTGCTATCCATGTACTCACTGTACTGCACTGGCTGGAGTGCAGTAGGGTGATCATAGCTCCATGCAGCCTCCACCTCCTGGGTTTAAACAATCCTTCCACCTCAGCCTCCCATGTAGTGTGCACTGCCATGCCCAGCTAATTTTTTTCTTTTTCTTTTTTTTTTTTGAGTCAGAGTCCCACTCTGTCGCCCAGGCTGGAGTGCAGTGGCACACTCACAGCCACTGCAGCCTCAACCTGCTGGGTTCAGGTGATCCTTCTGCTTCAGCCTTCCAAGAAGCTGGAACTACAGGCACATACCACCACAGCCAGCCAATGTTTTGATTATTGTAGAGACAAGGTCTCGCCAAGTTGCCCAGGCTGGTCTCGAACCCGTGGGCTCAGGCAATCCTCTCGCCTCTGCCTCCCAAAGTGCTGGGATTATAGGCGTGAGCCACCGTGGCCTGCCGCCCAGCTAATTTTGATTCTTCCTTTTCGAGTTGGGAGTCTCGCTCTGTTGCCCAAGCTAGTCTCAAACTCCTGGCCTCAAGCAGTCCTCCCGCCTCAGCCTCCCAAATTGCTGAGATGACAGGCGTGAGCCACGTGCCTGGCCCCCAGGGTTATACTTTAATACAGAAGTGTGGACCCTGTGTTGGGAGGGACCCCTGGGTCCAGTCATTTAGAGAAAGAAAAACATGTTGACCCTGTGTGTGAGAGGGTGTACGCAAAACTGTGGGTGGGATGGGCCCCGGGAAAATGGAACTGCAGCCTCCCGGAAGCCACCAGCACCCACCTGCCCCCACCCAC